TAAATTATGCTCTAAACTCAATGATAATAAATAAAACAATTTACTTGCATTTTCAATCTAGCATAACAAAACGAACACTTTTATTTGGATTATTAAAAATTAAAAAATAATGATATTTAGAATCAATGGTACTAGAGGTGTTAAAGTATTAGTTTAGGTAGTCATATTTGATAATTTCCATTAAATGAATCATGTGACATTACATTTAAATAAATCTATCATTTCATATCGTACAGTTGTCACCTAATCTGGTGCTTACCACACGCGGTGCTTAATAGCAATGCTCAAAATTTAAAGCAACTTTGAAATTTTCAAGTTACTCATTAAACGATAACAAGTGATTAGCCCTTTTTTGAGCACTATTTTTAGACCAAAAAAATGCATTTTTAAATAGTGTTTTGTTGAAAAATGCGTGGTTAAAAAATAAGGAATTTGTTTTCGATTTACTTGTAATATTATTTTATAGGAGAATCAAGAATGTATAGTTGAAAATGAATTTTTGAAAAAATAGGATCAAACATACGAGTATTTCTAGTTCTCTTAATAATTGACAATCATGTTACATATGCTAGAAATTTGGTCCCCAACAAGAACAACTTTGTGTTGTGTTGGCCTATAACCACCCACAATATATGATGGACATGTCCAATTTTTATGGATCTTTTATTCCAATGTCTAATATAAATAAAATACTATTTTTTTTCAACCGATCATCTGATGTTGTGAACAATCGACGTCCGTTGAATTGTGTTTCTTGGTAGTCAAAAACAAAAATAAAAGCTTTTAAAATGGCAATTCAAAATATATGATAACCAGTCAAGAATTAGTTGCTATATATTTGGTAAAGAGAACGGGTGGGTGGTCAACAATATTAAGAAATAATAATAATAATAAAATAAAAAGTTAAAATCGTGTAAAGTTTAGTCCAATCATAGCAACTCCGAAACTTTCCGCTTTTAGATTGTATAATACAATTTTATAGCATAACAAACCCTAATATTCACTTACATATAAATTAATGAAAAACATCTACCAATCGAGGAGTTAAGGGTAATCTGATCGACCCTTTCTTACATATTTTCATCGACAAATGAAAAAATAGATTAAATCACAAAATATTAATTACTAGTCCTAGCAAATGTTACCAAGTTAAGAATTCCTTTTTCACTTCTTTCTACTCATGTGTGTTCGGTAGAGATTAAAATTGAAAAATTAATCGTTATTGCTGACTTTTATTAGACGAGTGAGACCCAATAATAGCTATATTTTCAATTGTAATGGGATTTTAATTTTTACCAAACAAGCATTAAGATTAGAGCTAACTAAGGTCTCATTTGGAAGGGTTTTTGCTTTTGCTTTTATTTTTATTTCTTATAGAAGGGTTCCCGAAAGATTACCTTAATTAATGTTTGAAAATTAATTTTTTACTTATCAAAAAAAAAAAATTAATTTTTAAAGGAGTTTTCGATTTTTTAAAACTCTTTTAACTAGAAAAAAGAACACTTTTATAAAATTAATTAAATGAATTAAAAAAATAACTTTTGGATTTTAAAAATTTCTTCTGACTTCGTAATAACTGGATCCACTCATCCACCAAATCTATAATATGATGATGGGGTTAGGATTTAACCCGATGGGCTGGCAATTTTCCATCTTTCCTCTGAGTCTGGCAATTGAACAATGACTTTAGACCAAATTGGCTTAGACAATGGACCACCTAGGATCAACGTTGACTCTGGTTCCCAATTACTTGTCCTAATACGGACCAAGTCAATTAGTCACGCCAGCCGTGTAATTCGAGTAAAAATAAGGATGCCGTGCTCCAAATTGGTCTACTCCACGTGCACCTTTAGTCTCAAATTTGTCTCATTGTTCACTTCTTTATTTTGGTACACTGAACATAATAATAATCAATAAACATGGAGAGCGGAGAGAGTCTTCCAATAAAGTATATGATTTATTTATTTTTATTTTTTTACATGTATTTAATCTAGTATATCAAACATACTCGTGTACACCATTTTTCATAATTTCGCATTTAATTTCATATGTAAATACTAAAAAGGTATCAAATGGAAAAAAAAAAAGTTACATAGGAAAACATTTTAAACTTGGTCTTACTTTGGCCCTTATTTTTTAAAATTTATTTTTTTTCTCAAACTTATTTTTAACTACACATTTAATGAGACCCCACCCCACAACTTTTATCAGCGATATATTTCATTAATTTTTATTCAAATCTTTAAAATTTAATTTTTTATCTAGACAAAACAAGGGTTTTATTTATGTGCTCGACATAAATTTTGTATTATCGTATTGTAGGATAAACGTATTTAACAAAATGCTAACGGTTATATGTGTATGTTTGGTACGTTTTCGTAAATTATAAGTTATTAATTCTGCAAAAATGTGTAGATAAAATGATTTAAAGTTTGATTATTTTAGAAGTTTGAAAAATTTATCAAACACGGTCTGTGAAAGGGCATTCTGGTATTTTGAACAACTATCATGCTACATGTATATCATCGTGTACATCATGAGGGTGTGGACATTCCTATGTATCAAATTTTATGTACATGTAACAAGTCTCCAAGTATAATATCGAAAACAATATGGAAGTGACTTTTCCTTTGAACAATATCATATGCCAGCCGCTATGTGTTGTGGACGTGATAGCCATTTTAGAATTCAGTTAAGAGCAAATTTAGGATTTTAATTTTTTTTATATTAATATTTATGCCGTGTTTTAAGGGTGTCCTTTTTCAACGGATTAATTTTTTTTCCCTGAAGTGCTTTATGGGGAGGAAAATTAATGAGGCAGGGTACTCTTCCAACACGACATGATATTGTGCTGTCAATTTATGGAGAGAAGTGCTTTATTTCTACAAAAAGAGACTATTTTAAAAGATCTTTCTATATGTGGTCACGTACATCAAAATTTAGGTAATGAAGCATCACATGATAATTTATTATTTTGTCAATTTAAAATATAATTAACTTTTTCATGCAATCTGTTCCCTTCACGTCATATTACGTTATCCATTATGTACATTTTTTTATATAAAAATAACAAAATTCTCTATTTTAAAAGAGACTGCGTTTTATAAATAGTATCGAGATTGTAATTGTTAGATGAGCACGCCAAATATAAGGATGAAACAATGCATTTAGAAGTGATTTTTGACCAAGACGAGGGTTAGTTGGGGTTGATGGCTCGAACGTATTGCTTTTGTTGTATTTTCTTTCTAAACATTTCCAATGACTCGTATTGATTCCAACCTTCTATTTTAGTCGAGCCTATAGTTGTAGCAGAAGATTTCTATCCAAATTACCCACAAAATTATCTCTGTTGGTCTCGTGTCTTTTGTAGAGATATTAAAGGTGAACAAACATCATTCCAAAGTTGTCGTTATATGCGTGGCTCGATAAAAATACGACGTGTATTTTTTTACACATCATCTCGTGAGATTTTGACCTAACTGGGCCCGTTTGATTCTCATTATTGTAGGATGAGAATGAAAAATATAACCGTTATTAAATCCCACACAAAATATAGAAATTCAAAATTGATGGCTTGATGTGATGGATAACGACCATATTTTTCATTTTTTATGGATGGAAAATGAGAAACAAACGGAAGCTAAAATGGTATGCTGGACCAAAATATCACTTTTGAAAGGTTTGCAATAAGGGTCTGATTGATTGGTTTAAATTTTATAAAAAATGTCACATTCGAGAAATTCAATTTATACTTTGATTGTTTGGCACGAAGTGGAAATGAAGCTCGAATTCCAAGGTACAACCACTTTAAGCTTGTTTTTTGCCAATTTAATGGAAAATGCATTCTCATGGGATACTTGAGTTTTTATTTTCCAATGGACCCTAAGACCAATAGGTTGGGAAACTTCATTGTTATTTTTTCCTTTCATGTAAATTATCGCAATATCTTTGCAAATTTGTATCGCTTTATCTTATCCCCTGGCCCCTGCATTAAAAACAATAAAGGTCTGTTTGGGTTGGGACTCATAAGAATCCTCAATAGAGTCGTCGGTGCAATACAAATGATGATATCCAACGCCACCGACGTTGAAAACATAATCCTATGTGATATATAAGTTAAATTAAATGATAAATCTAATTAAACATGATATTGTTAGACTCGTTTAATTGACACTATGATGAGTGGTCATTTATGTTGTATTTTAACACCAAACTATAATGTAGCATTAGTGCATTACTCGTGCCACAGAGTGCAACACCAAGAATGTGGGTCCCGTAAAAGTGACACGCGGCAACTCGCTGTGTTAACCCCTGCCAAATAATCTCACACCTACGAATAAAGAAAAACAAAATTGAATATAGAAGCAAAAAACATTTTTTCTACTATAAACTAAAACCAAAAAAGGATAAATGAAAAATAAAAAAAACTTTGTTAAAAATTCAAATCCAGAAAATAAATTCGCTGCGGCTGGACCCACTGCCCATTCTTCTTTCCCCTATATTAACGCACTTCCCCCTCCATGCAATTGCTGCAATTCTCGCTTATTTCAATCCGTTTAGCATTTTCTTTGCATATACAGGAGACTTCCGCCTTAGGTTTACGTCTATTCTCAGATTTTCATCGTCTTTTGGATTTCGATTTCCAATTTCTTCTTAGATTATTATATTTTGATTCTGCATGGTGGGATTCGTGTTCTAGTTATAGATTTGTGTCCGATTCTGTAAAGCATTCGTTTCAATTTTGTGTTCGTAGCATTTGCTTCTTCTGAGGGGTAGGTGTGGGGATTTCAGGGTTGTGTAAGGGTGTATTTGGTTATTGGTTTGTTGTGAACCAGATCTCTTTTTGCTTCTTTTGAGGGGGTAGCCGGGGCTCCGGCCTCGGCAGGTTTTAAAGCCCCTACCTATACAAAACCGATCTAAAAACGTAGAATTTGAATTATTTATTTTTTTGGTTATCATTCTTTGATTCTCCCGGAGCCGTAAAACAGATCGGGGGAAAGATGCCGGCCTTGGCTTGCTGCATAGACGCCGCTGTAGCTTCACCTCCCGGCTACGCCATCGCCTGGGATGGCATTGTTCCCACTCCGGAGTCATCCTCTGCCTCCGACGTCTCTCTGTCGACAAACTCCACAATCACCAACGCCTGGTCACCCGCACATTCCTCTATTCTCTACCGGGTCGATGGGTGGGGTGCCCCTTATTTTACTGTCAATTCCTCCGGAAATATCTCCGTCCTCCCCTACGGCGCGGATACTCTTCCCCACCAGGAGATTGACCTCCTCAAGGTCGTGAAGAAGGCCTCTGACCCAAAAGCTTCTGGTGGGCTTGGGCTTCAGTTCCCTCTTATCGTTCGCTTCTCTGACGTTCTAAAAAAACGGCTTGAATCTCTGCAGTCTGCTTTTAATTTTGCTGTTCAATCCCATGCCTATCAGGCTCATTACCAGGGCGTTTATCCTGTGAAATGCAATCAAGACAGGTTCGTGGTTGAGGATATTGTGAAATTCGGGTCCGGCTTCCGCTTTGGTCTGGAAGCCGGATCAAAACCGGAGCTCCTCATGGCTATGAGCTGCCTCTGTAAAGGAAGCTCCGAGGCTCTTCTGGTGTGCAATGGATTTAAAGATGCAGAATACATTTATCTTGCGCTGGTTGCTAGAAAGCTGCATTTAAACACTGTGATTGTTCTTGAACAAGAAGAAGAGCTAGACACTGTGATTAATGTCAGCCAGCAACTCCGTTTCCGTCCCGTGATTGGTCTCCGTGCCAAGCTGAGGACCAAGCATTCTGGCCATTTTGGGTCCACTTCAGGCGAGAAAGGGAAGTTTGGTTTAACTACCACTCAGATTCTCCGTGTTGTGAAGAAACTTGAACAGCATAGTATGTTGGATTGCCTACAGTTGCTGCATTTCCATATTGGATCCCAGATCCCTTCCACAGCTTTGCTTGCTGATGGAGTACATGAAGCTTCCCAAATCTACTGTGAATTAATCCGCCTTGGTGCTTGTATGAAAGTCATTGACATCGGCGGTGGTCTTGGAATTGATTATGACGGCTCGAAATCCCAGGATTCTGAAATTTCTGTTGGTTACAGTATTGAAGATTATGCTTATGCTGTTGTTCGGGCTGTAAAATCCGTGTGTGACCGTAATGGCGTGAAGCATCCTGTGATTTGCAGTGAAAGCGGTCGTGCCATTGTGTCTCACCACTCAGTTTTGGTGTTCGAAGCTGTTTCTGCGAGTTCCTATGCATCTTCTGAGATGCCTTCTTTTGGACTTCAGTACTTGTTGGAGCAACTCACTGAGGATGCCCTTGCTGATTACCGAAATTTATCTGCTGCTGCAATTCGCCACGAGTATGATACCTGTTTGGTTTATGCAGAGCAGCTGAAGCAGAGGTGTGTTCAACAATTCAAAGAAGGGTCTTTGGGGATGGAACATCTTGCTGCAGTTGATGGACTTTGCGAAATGATGTCAAAGGCAATTGGGGTTTCCGATAATGTCCGTACTTACCATGTCAATCTATCAGTTTTTACCTCAATTCCTGACTTTTGGGGAATTGGTCAGTTGTTTCCCATTATTCCAATCCACAGGCTTGACGAGAGGCCTGCAATGAGGGGGATTTTGTCTGACTTAACTTGCGACAGTGATGGGAAGATTGATAAGTTCATTGGAGGCGAATCTAGCTTGCCTTTACATGAATTGGAAGGCAATGGAAGTGTTAATGATAATGGTGGGAAGTACTATTTGGGGATGTTTTTAGGTGGGGCTTATGAGGAGGCACTCGGGGGAGTTCACAACCTGTTTGGAGGCCCAAGCGTCATAAGGGTGATGCAGAGGGATGGCCCTAACAGATTTGCTGTGACATGTGCCATTCCTGGCCCATCCTGCGGGGATGTGCTCCGGGTGATGCAGCATGAGCCTGAGGTCATGTTCGAAACCCTCAAGCATCGTGCAGAGGAATTTGCTGACAATGGTGAAGCTCATGGCAGCATGTCACTTGCCAGTGGTCTGACCCGGTCCTTCAATAATATGCCTTATCTGGTTGGCTCAGCATCTTGCAGCTTGACTGCTGCCAATGGTAATAATGGTTACTTCTATTGCGATGAGGATATTTTTTCTTCGGCTGCTGATACTGTGGCTGCTGAGGATGAGCAGTGGTCTTACTGCGGTGCTTGAGTTTTTATGGAAGTCATGTAGCATCTCCAGTGGTTTCTAGTTTGTCGTTTGAGGCCGTCTGTTTTTAATCTTTGATTCTAACTGTTTAGTACCCTTTTGCATTGTACTGTTAACTGTTTAGTTTGCTATGAACAAGATATAAGAAGCATAGCTGAGAGTTGCATTCTGCAGAGGAGTGGGGACGTTACCGAATCTGTTTGATTCTTTTGGTACCAACTGCCCCTGCTTTTGTGTAATGTTTATCAATGTCTAGTTGTTAGATCTTTCTTATGAACTCTTGATCGCTGTTTAATCCTCTTTTGATTTTGTTCTTCATTTCTTTGTCCATTTTATTCAATTTTGTGAGGTAGCTTGTTTGAATGAATGTAAAGGTATCAACTTGGGTAGCCAGTTGAATTGGCAGCGATGACTGATTGGTAGCCCTTATAAATTGATTGCTCTCTCTTTAGACTTTATACAGTTGAGACCTATGTAGGGCCTTCTAAAATTAGTTTTGATTCTAATTACGTTCTTATGTGCAAGAATCCAATCAAAATAAAGGTCAGATCTGCTACTTATATCATGTTATAAGATTCCATATTATCTTTATCTTTGTCAGCAGTGTTTGGTGGTTTTTCTATCCTGTCTTTTGTGGAACAGCATCCTTGATTTTGGTAACAAAAAGACACGACCTTTAAATGGTGAGTGTAGGGGTCAATTTCTTCAGAGATACCCCTGCAATGCCAAAATGTGATCTGTTGCAAACTAACCTGTACAAGATTATCTTGTTTAACTTATGTGTAAAGATTTTGAAATAAAAGTTTTACTTTCAGAAAATTTGCTGCTAATCTAATGCTATAAATGGGGATAACCATTTGAGCTTGTCCTGTATCCTCATTTCTGTCATTATATTTGAGCATGTGATGCATATTAGCTTGGTTATACTTGAAAGGACCTGAGCTATAGAGCATATGATACATTGTCTAGTGGTCAAACTACTATCCAAATGACAAAGCAATTTCCGTACTCGGATATCAACCTTTGTGATGTGTTACATGATTTTCATCAAAGAGACGTGGGATTTTTTATTACGTTAACTAGTACTAATTGATGAGGGACCATTGAGTTAATTTTGATTTGCTTCTTCCTCATTTTTGGCATTTTTACATTTTGTACGTGCCCAGCTGTCTAGTAGACCATCTTTTAGTTTCTTGCCTATTGATTTCATCTTATGTATAGTTCTTGAAAAGATAACTGTGAGACAGGAATGTTGTCAAATTGCCCAGTGTAAAGTATAATTAGCTAGTGTTTTGAAGAAAACTGTGATCAAACAGACATTGGACAAAGAAACGTGCTTTTTCACAAGATTGATGAAAAAGTTGATTGTGACCTGGACAAGTTATGCAAATCCCATGTTTATCTGGTTGAGCAGGTCATTTATGATTTTTCTATCAATTTTTTTCTGAATTGGTTACTCTTATTGCGTGTTGCTTGTATCGATTCGTGAGATCTTGTGAAGATTTCATCGCGTATTTTGGGAACTAGATTGATTTGTCTCTATGTTTGTACTCCAAGAGCTAGGCTCTCGCAGGCTTAGAGCTGCCAAATGCCAGTGGCTAAGAAGTCAAGTACTTGGATGAGACTGTAGATAATGTTGTAGATGACTTTTGTGATTTGAGAATTTGGGGGGACAAACAGTAACCAGATGACCCTTATACTGCTTAGAATTGCTGGCAGGTGTGTGTTCTTAACAGTGTGCGCGTGTTAAATAATAGTATTTGAATCAGTCAATTAGTTTTATCAACAAATAAACCAGACCTTACGGGGGCATATATTTAAGAAAAAAAAAATCTTATCTATTTTACTACTTGGAAAAGTATATTAATGTTTGTGGACAAATGAGAATCCTTTTCAAGCTTTCACTCCAATCGCTCGCTAACTTGGCCCTTACTATATTCCTTCATTGGATTCGAAAATCGCGGCCAAGATGTGGGAAACCTATGTGTGATTGCAAAAAACAAGAGATCGATAAGAGCGATCTACCCCAGGAGGGTTTTAAAACCCTTGATTAAAAAAATCCCATTTTTTTCAAAATATATATTTTTCTCTTTTTTAAATCACACATTATTCAATAAAAATAATATTACACACAACCAAAAAAAAATTTCTTCATTTTTAATCATACATTCTCCATTAATTTACTATTCCAAACTGCATTCTACGTAATTAAAAAAAAAAAAAAAAAGTTCAAACAGGCTCATGCATATCGCCAGTCAACTGCTAACCCAAAGCTTGGGCAGATTGTTAAAAGTAATCTTCACTTTTGCTGGGCCTAACAGATTTTAAGCCATGGGAAAAATTCACAGTTCAGCATCAAGTATGAGACAATTCAATTTTCAGGTTTTAATTTTCAAAATGCAAAATTCGGGTATTATCTATTTAATTAAGCCCTTGTCTCATCCCCACTTTTTTTTTAAAATAAACATTTCTCTCTTTTCCTTTTAATCACATATTATTCAATAAAATAATATTACATGCAACCTACAAACTTTTTCTTCATTTTTAATCATACTAGGTTTAAACAACGTGCAATGCTCGTTTGCTTAGTTAATATATAATTTTTTTGGTTAAGAATTATAT